GCTGAAAAGCAGAAGGAATACCAACTTTTTACACAGGGATGTACATGAAGTTGGGTATTTGATGGTACCTGGGACTCATACTCTTAATTTTCAGGGTCGTAGCCAACAAAATTGGGCTCCCAAACACTTACACCATACAATAACAGTATTAATACTAATATGTATCATGATCATCACATTGTTACAGTAATTAAATTGCAAATAATACCATAGCCCAGCTAGTAGCAAACTCAGGGGATAACTTACTGCACTTGATTAGAATTTTTTACCAAAGTATTTGGGCTTTTCTGCATCCTGTGGACGAGCTAATAAATTTTTGTCGCGTCAATTGTCAATCGTCCTGTAAATCCCTGTTTTTGTCTTCAGGTATGACACAGTCTGGGGATTTGAGAGTAGAATGCATCTAGAATTCACATGCCTAACTTAATACTACATGGATAATGTGGTGGGTTAACATATAATCTTACTTATGGAAAACACAACTTCATATGTATGTATGCAAATCTTTTGAGTGTGATACAGTTATTTAATGTCTTCAGGTATGACACAGTCTGGGCTTTGAGAGTAGTATGCATCTAGAATTCACATGCTTACCTTAATACTACATGGATAATGTGGTGGGTTAATACATGTTATTTATGAAAACACAACTTCATTTGTAAGTATGCAGATTTATTAGAGTGTGTTACAGTTATTTAATAAACAATTTAACTACCAATTCAATGAACAGTTGTCTCTCATCATTTACATGTCTTTAGAGTTCGGAGACACCAAAACCCACAACACAAAGTGGAAGTCATTGTATGTCTGATTTATGTAAGTTAATTCTGTTTTATTTTGGGGGCAAAATATATTTATACATATAAGTATACTTGAGAAATACAGGTGAGTAATGTGAGATGACTTTCAGCAATGTTTCACCTACATTGTCACTGAGGCTCCGTCTCGAGCTGCACAAAGTACACTGCACAAAGGTTTCAGGATTAGACTGAGTTTGGGAGTGAAATTGTTACATGACTTTCAGCAATTTTTCAGCTCTATCAACATTTGGTGTACACAGAGAAAGAGGCGTGAAAAGAAAGAAAGTGAAAGCAAAAGATCCCCATTTTAGTGCCTTTTTCAACAAGCAAGGGGTTATCGAGGTCATATTCTTGCTTAGTGTCTGAAGACACTTCCCAGAAATCAACAAGGTTCATAATAAGACAGACAGACAATTTTATTCATGTATTTAGGCCAAGGCCCATATTACAATATTATGAAAAGTGTGTTAATGCACTGCCTTCCTGTTTAGATTGCTAACCTGAAATTGTTGCACCTGAATTTACAAATAACTGTTCTTAGATGCCTCTTGAGATACAAGATTCAACATGTAACATTGTTTTAAATTGACAATACGTTTGGCACTTACTCGACTGTGAAGTTATAGAGTGCCACACTTGACTCAAGGAATCAAATAATCTTTGTTTAAAAAGAGCAGTAAACATTTCAATATTACCAGTGTCATGTCCAAAGTACTCCAAAGCCAAACTGAAATTTCTCACATGAGACGCCCAGGTCTTTCTACCCACATCATCTAGATTCTTCAGCATTAAATAAGACTGATAAGGTCATCTAATTGGATTATTCTACACCAATACTTTGTTGGTTTTAACATATAATTGCATTGGAGTGGTACTCTACCACATTCACCAAGTGCCATAACATCACACATATTCTTATGTAGCCTTAATATCCTCTTACAAAAACTGGTGTGTACTCTTTCGATGGTTTTACAATAGTGTGTACCCCAAAAGTCAGCTCCATAACAAAAAATTGGAACAAGCATTTTATGAGATATTGTAAAGGCATCAGTACAAGAAACAAAACCATATTTTCTCTGATAGCTAAATAAGGACATCAGAGCCTTGTATGCCTGGGCTGCTGAACAGCTTTGTTCTTTTGACCATGACAAGGTTGGTGTGAAAACCACCCCAAGGTATCTATAGTTGTTAACAACATAAATTTTTTGGCCTTTAAAATACCAATTCTCATAAGTTATTTAAAGGACCACCTCTTCGAAGCACCATGATTTTTTTAGTATTTTGTACATTTACCCTCATACCAGTTCTTTCACAAAATTGTTCTCAGACGTTTATTTTTATCACAATTCAAATGATTTGATACAACATCCTTACTATTAATATCCACAGAGTCATTAGGAGCTGGCGAAAACATGTGCGTTGCCATGCATCATGTATCATCATGTTCATAATTAGAAAATTTACCATACTCAACAGTTACAATTTCACTTAAAATAATGGTCCTCGAAAATTTGTAAGAATTGAACAAACTGTCCATATCTGATTGATTGATGATGCTAGGGTGAGAGGAACAACTCCATCAAATATATGATATTCTTTTATACGCCTGATTGCTCTTTCCACATGGATTCTTAAACGTGCAATTTCTTGGGTTTCTGACACCTCTTCTCCACTGAACTGTCCTTTATGGTCAAGAAATGGGGGATCACTAAACTTGCTTGTTTTTTTCTCCAATAAATCCTGTATCAAAAATCCTTTATCAGCCATTACCTCATCACCTGGCTCCAGAAGATCCACAATGCCACATCTACTTGTGATTTCCTTATCAGAAATTGCACCGGTATATAAAGTACTAACAAACGATAAAACTCCACAGGGTGTAATACCTATCAGACCCTTAAACGTTATGTGGCTCTTATACGAGGAATAAACCTCTGAGTTCAATACTCTGGAACTAGGAGTCTGCACCTTCACCTCTGTACAATCTATGATGACCCGTGTCTTGGGATACCAAAGTTTGAAATCTCTTGGCATGTTACTGTCAATTATTGAACGAGTTGGCCAAATCTTGATACTTCCTAGCATCACATACAGGTAGTTGGCCCAAGTGATTAATATCCTACTGACTGATGATTGAGACAAATTGAACCTAACTGCCAGATCACGTTCAAGTAGTCCTTGATGCACTCTACATAAAAACATAAAAAACTGATCTATCAAGGGCAGTGATTCGTTATGGAATGCACTTGTTTTCAATTTATCCATGTTTGATGAATGTCTCTGCATCTCGTCCACCTAATCATGGTAGTAGCTGTGGGCTGTAGGGCTACGAAGACACTCTTGAGAGTTGCATAGTCTTTAAAACCTGTGTGAGGAAAGATAATATATATTAATTATTATATTTTTGGAATTTTTGAAGATTGAAATATACTTCAATAGCTTGTTAATCCAACACTGTTCAGCCTACTCCGTGATCAGTTAACCGTTGGTTGTCCCAGGGTTTTACATGTAAAATGCAATTATGCAATATACAATAAATTATTAAAAAATGTGTTCACATTATTAAATACAAAATATATGAAAAAAATGGTGGCTACAGATAAGACTGACTGAGTTTGGTTTTACACAGCTTTTAGCAATATTCCAGCAACATCACGGCGGGGACACCAGAAATGGCTTTAGGTAAGAGTCTGTGCAAGAATTATAGGTGATACAATGAAAGTGTGTGATACCTGTGTAGAAATTAATATTCTGAGGATCATTGCTGAAACGCTCAAGAAAAACAGCTTTTGACTTGTCTCAAGTAGTTGCTGCTTAAGTACTTTCAATTCTGCATGTGCAGCTGCAAGTTGTTCATCAATTGGCTGAGGGGTTATGGTGTAGTCATGATCCATGGAAGCTAAGGGTACTTCATCATGTGAACATGGCATTTCTCCAGCAACCTGAATTTCCATTGGCTCAGGATCAATCTTCCTGAAACAAATTTTAAACAATATAAAGTCACCATCTGTCACTGGAAAATTCTGTGCATATTTTGAGAAAAAGAAAATTGTTTATCAATTATTTGTATACTTTACTCTTAGGGTCAGTTGTTTCATTATTAGAATTACATAATGTGAATTTTCTACCAAAGTCTCAAGAAAAGCATGTATATGTATCATAAAATTGCTGTCTCAAAATAGTGATTACATTGCACAATAATCTCAAAGAAAGCAATCACAAGCCAATACTAACTTCAATGATCTTCTTTGTGGGACCTATCCGTTTTGATGGGGATCTCTGTGTCCATGGAAAGAGGGTAGGAACTGATCCTGGTAGTAGCGTTCTCTTTCCTATTAAAGTACGACGAATATCACCTGCCTTGAAATGAGATGAGCAGACCCTTGTTTTGTCAGAAAGCTGAAAATATGATAGGTGTATAGATCTATTATATGCATTGTCTTATAATCAGATTACTTGTAATGATAAAATTATGTGTGTGATCACTACCGTCACTAATGTTAAACCCAATCTTTGATGTACTGAAAGAAGGCATAAACTGTTATTATCATGTAACACAAAAGAGCTTGAGGTGGAGGAGAATTCTTCTCCAATATTGGCTGGGATTACTTTCTGGGTCATTGAGCAGCTACAAAACCATTCCTTAGTGGCTGTTGTAAACACTAACTTGATTATTTTATTAAATATTACTGTGTACACACATATGCTACAATCATGTTCGACTTGTAACCCTATAATTTGTCCTTAATTGTGTTTAATTCTCTAAAAACTGCAAGGCTGGTCGCCCTTTCAACGCATTTCCAACAGAGCCGATATTCCGAATTGGGTATCTCATATTCATAAAAAATATTACTTTGGGATAAGTATTGCAAAGTGAGTAAGAGTATTTTAGCTGCTCGGAAACAATCGCACATGTTGAAAGAATTGATATTTACCTTGAAATATGGTCCGACATCTCTTCTTATCTTAACAAGCCATTCTTTTCTTAAGTTCTTTTCAGCAGGGATTCTGTGAAAAGACAGCTGTCCCTCGGTGTCATAACGAGAATCATTAGTGCACATCGGTACACAGCAATGCAGGGCCGCCATTGTTTGTGCACCAAGCCTCGTTCTGAGTTGAAAACATGGCGGGCGTGAATACAGCCTATCATAATACGCCTCACACTCGTTTTAATGTGCTATGTATCGCGTAGTTTCGTATCCAGGTAGCTCTCAGTATGACTATATATCCATATAACGCAGCCCCAGGGGCCTTATTTTGAGATTGCAAAAATGATATTGTGATTTCTAGAGATATTATTATGACATTTCAGGGCCTGTTGATGTCGTTCTTTGAAAACGTCAGATATTGACATTCGAGAGATGAGTTAGGCAAGCATGGCGCGGTTGGATATTCACGTTACAGACAAAGTGCTAGATTTTTTACATTTGTTTCTTCTATTACAAACTTTACAACCTTCTTCAACATATGTAGATGCAGTAGAAAGTCACAGCCAAGGTAAGACACAGAAAAAATCACGAAACATTATGTCTAGATGTTGAAAACAGGGTATAAATGTTGTGAGGTTGCGCTTGTGTTTACATGCGGGACTGTCGCGAACACAATGTGTTTGCCCCGAAAATGACATTGATTGTGATGACATATGTGAATCATGAATTTGAGTTTATCACAGTAATGTGTCAGGTTTTACAAATACTGATCGCAGACACATAATCTGTGGAAATATCGCCATATTTTGATGTGTTTATGGTTGATGTGACCATGCCGGAAATAGATTCCACAACGCGTTCGAGCAGAACATCTTGTCTATAAAGAACAGTCTCTAGGGCTACTACAATGACATCTCAGTCGAACGACAATACACTATATACTCCAGTGTTGTCATTAACATTGACATTTACATATGTATCCCTTTTTCCATTAATAATCGACTTTTTCTTTCTTTTCAGCGTTCATCCAAACAGACAAACATTTGACCTACATTGTAGGTGATATTAGTGGAATACCTTTAGAAGTGAGTATTACCATCGTCTGCTATCATGAGTGTAATTCAGTGTTAGATTCACAGTGTTTGCACTTGATCTAAAGACAAGTTAGCTATAAACAGATACATTCTAGTGGAGTGTACATATACAAGATGTGTGTATTCCTGTATGCTTTGCTGACCCAGTTTGCAATGACAGTACAGTACTACGACTAAAGATAAAATTGATAATAAACATCGACACAAGCCATGATCACAAGTTGAATGCTCCATGTCTTGGGTTACTTCTTTGATTTGAAAGGCATACTCATTGCATGAGCAAAGATTTTATGTGAAATTATTACCAGTAGAGTATCTTTTAAATTGTATCTGTCATTTAATATAATCATGATAATGTGATGTTATGCTGTTAATTTCCATTTGATTAATTTAAGGAAATTAAATTAATAATTTTATATCTTAGTCTTTGACTTGAACAGAGTGTCATATTTGTGCCAAATTTATGGATCTAGTTGATTTCCCACTCATTTTATGTTTTGATGTTTACAGTACTGTGTAAATCTAATTGTAGTTAGATTTCACAAAATGAACTGTATTTTGTAAAGTAGATCAAAGAGTCAATATGTGTACTGGTGATATGGAGGAAATGCTTCCTTATTCAATTCACATGTGTCATTCATTGCCCTTGACTCTTTTGTTTCTATGTCCTCTATGGAAACAGGGAGTTTGTTTGTCACTTTGTGACCTTTCTAACTGGAAGTGCTGTAGAAGTACCTTGTGTCCGTGTTCACTGCTGAGCAAATATCTAACTCATGTACAGCTCACACTCTTGCTGTCTCATCATTCTTCAGATCAAAGTCATTCATTTGATGTAGGATGATTAGTTTATTTTGTGGTGCAACACTTTTGTTGTTGCTGGCTTAAAACATTTGAAGTTTTAAACAATTAAACCTCTGTTTACACACTCTTGTCTAAAATATCTTTCATGCCAATACTATCAACAATTGACCATTTTCAGACAGGTTTAGAAGTTCCTGTGAACAGTTTAGTTTAACATTTTATTATTACATGTGCACCCAAACCAAGCAGGATAATAGTCAACACTCCTAATTCTTTTGATTTGTCAGTAATGTGGTCACTTGTCATTGCCATTATAAGTTTGATGTCACAGAATTTATTGTTATTGTTTTACTGATTATCATGAATAATACATCAGCTGCTTACTTCTTACTTTATTTGTCACCCAACATTAGTGATATGTTCTCCTCAAAATGAATTAGTTTATATATGTTTTGCAAGCTTTGTTATAAATCAAGACGATCTCAAGATCCAGTGAGAGGTTGAGGATATTTTGCTTTAATAGGACACCCTGATTTTTTTATGATAGATTACAAGGTCAGGGTTCTGTAAAGGGCCCATAGACATCTTTCTAGAATTGCACAACACTGTAAACACAGCTTGGGGTGTAGACAACGAGACATAACACATTTAAATGTTGTCCCTATCAAGCCTTGCATTGGATGACATTATTGAGGTTTATCATGACATAAGTCATGCTGAATGAATTTGAAAAGAAAAAATGTGTGGTTTCTGGTCTCAGATCGCTAGCATCCGGGGAGGATTATTAGAGGAAGTAGGGTTTCTCCGTTGAATAGTGACATTGTGTGCTCCACCACTGTTTGTTGTTACAGAGGCTCCTTGTCTGTACCACAATAGATAACTGACGAAACGAGACAAGGAGCAAGACAATTCAAAATCCAAATCCTGCTTGTGATACTTGATACTTTATAGTTCTGTTTACTTTCATTGTTGATGGCTGCACACAGAACTTATGTACAGGAAAACATGATCCAACATAATGATGAAAAGAGTTAAAAATATTATGATATTATTAAAGATATTTCTTATTTTGCCCGTTGATATTTGTGACATAGTGCTCTTGTCTTTGGCTAGTTTGCCAGGGTTTATAATTTTCCTATGTGTAATGTTCAGTTTTGGATACTCAAGGGTATTATTTATGAATACCCCTATCTGTACTTATGCCCTGTTACAATACATGCTTGGTGGTAACCATGGTAACATTTCATCTTACAAATAGAAGCAATCATATCTATTTTTTTAGTTGTTATCCTAAGTAAATAAATGTGAATTTGGGACAATTACAAGCTCAGCCTAATGACTAACTAACACTTTTGACACTAAAATGCCAATTTTTCCAGTGATAGTGTGAGTATTGGGGCTTGCATGCCACTCAGCTTAGTGTCAAACTTTGGGGTCCATATTAATCATGGTTCAGTAACAACATGATGAACATACCTTGTCATGCCACAGATATTTCTAGGATAACACAAAAACCAATTTATGATATTTGGGGTCATTCTAAAGTGAAAATATTTTTGCCCATGTTAACCACCACAGTTGGTGATTCTTACATGTTTTGTTTCTACTTCCCTATCACTGTATCAATCTTTAGTGGTTCATGTCCATGTGAACACTTTGCCTGAAATATCAGGTTTAAACAAAATGTTAAAGGGAGGTCACCCAAAGCCTTCCTTTCTATTTCCCTCTGGGCATCTCAGGAAGCTCTGACACTAGTCCGATAGTAGTGAATAGCTTTCAGGAAAGTGGTGTTACTTGTAGCGAGGTTAGATCCCGGTTGTGGACTGAGGATACAGTTTTATCATTTGTTTCCTTGTAAATCCGAATTTGCAACACAAATCAGACTGTATATGAGAGTGAGACTACATTTGCTGTTAACGTTAGTTTAAAGTTTGAACTGTAATTGTGTCTTTTCAATCCTGTCAACTCAGTCCAAATAAGACTTGTTTTCAGAAACAAAGTCTGATGTTAAAATAAGAGTAATACTAGTATCATTTTTGGAAAAAATCTGTTTTACAGTTCCAAGGATAGCACTTGTTTCCAGATAAATGGGCAAGACTTTGCCTTCAAATGTTGTATTGAAAAATAGAAGTTTCGTCTCAGTCCTAAGAGAAACATGCTTCCATTTAATTATTCTCCATCAAAACATACAAGAGTGGGTATTGACCCAGATGATCAGCCAGCTGTTTCCACCAAACGCATATTGAGAACAACTCAGCATTCACTCGATAAATACTTTCAATTTATTTTTTTGCTCTTTTGACTTGTGCTTTGCAGAAACGGCAAAGAATTTCAGATTTTATTGTCCATATTTAAGCAGTACTAAAACAAGCATGTAGAAAACTGTGTTCCAAGTGGAATATGCTCTCTCAAAGCCCCTGGACCCGCTAACTCCCATCCTGCCTGGCCACCTTTCCGCTTTGAATGTAGCTATTTGTTTGGATCCAAATTAGGTATGTTCAAAGACTAAGCTTTAGTGTGACATGTGGCAGTACTTGTGCCTGTATGATTCACCTTTGATATATGATTCTTTTCTACTTCAGATAAAACCAGGTCATGGGTTTCCAGACCCGCTTTCGTAAGTATTTCAATACTCTTTTCTATTTCTATAAATTGAACTATTATATGCATCAATGTGTATGATATAGGTCTGTATAGCAAGTGTTGTTGCATTCAAATGCAGTTGATTTGAAGGGGTTGAGATGTATGTACTATGCTGGAGCAACCTCAATACACAGATGAGGGAGACCCTTGTTGCATGTACACTGAACCAACCTCAATACACAGATGGAGGGAGACCCTTGTTGCATGTACACTAAACCAACCTCAATACACAGATGAGAGAGACCTCTGTTGCATGTACACTGAACCAACCTCAATACACAGATAGAGGGAGACCCTTGTTGCATGTACACTGAACCAACCTCAATACACAGATGGAGGGAGACCCTTGTTGCATGTACACTGAACCGAATACACAGATGGAGAGACCGTACCTCAATACACAGATGGAGGGAGACCCTTGTTGCATGTACACTGAACCAACCTCAATACACAGATGGTTTGAAGGGGTTGAGATGTATGTACTATGCTGGACCAACCTCAATACACAGATGAGGGAGACCCTTGCTGCATGTACACTGAACCAACCTCAATACACAGATGGAGGGAGACCCTTGTTGCATGTACACTGAACCAACCTCAATACACAGATGAGAGAGACCTCTGTTGCATGTACACTGAACCAACCTCAATACACAGATGGAGGGAGACCCTTGTTGCATGTACACTGAACCAACCTCAATACACAGATGGAGGGAGACCCTTGTTGCATGTACACTGAACCAACCTCAATACACAGATGGAGGGAGACCCTTGTTGCATGTACACTGAACCAACCTCAATACACAGATGGAGGGAGACCCTTGTTGCATGTACACTGAACCAACCTCAATACACAGATGAGGGAGACCCTTGTTGCATGTACACTGAACCAACCTCAATACACAGATGAGGGAGACCCTTGTTGCATGTACACTGAACCAACCTCAATACACAGATGGAGGGAGACCCTTGTTGCATGTACACTGAACCAACCTCAATACACAGATGTAGGGAGACCCTTGTTGTATGTACACTGAACCAACCTCAATACACAGATGAGAGAGACCCTTGTTGCATGTACACTGAACCAACCTCAATACACAGATGAGAGAGCCCCAAATTGCATGTACACTGAACCAACCTCAATACATAGATGGAGGGAGACCATTGTTGCATGTACACTGAACCAACCTCAATACACAGATGGAGGGAGACCCTTGTTGCATGTACACTGAACCAACCTCAATACACAGATGTAGGGAAATTTTTGTTGCATGTATACTGAACCAACCTCAATACACAGATGAGGGAGACCCTTGTTGCATGTACACTGAACCAACCTCAATACACAGATGGAGGGAGACCCTTGTTGCATGTACACTGAACCAACCTCAATACACAGATGGAGGGAAACCCTTGTTGCATGTACACTGAACCAACCTCAATACACAGATGGAGGGAAACCCTTGTTGCATGTACACTGAATCAACCTCAATACACAGATGGAGGGAGACCCTTGTTGCATGTACACTGAACCAACCTCAATACACAGATAGAGGGAGACCCTTGTTGCATGTACACTGAACCAACCTCAATACACAGATGGAGGGAGACCCTTGTTCCATGTACACTGAACCGACCTCAATACACAGATGGAGGGAGACCCTTGTTGCATGTACACTGAACCAACCTCAATACACAGATGGAGGGAGACCCTTGTTGCATGTACACTGAACCAACCTCAATACACAGATGAGGGAGACCCTTTTTGCATGTACACTGAAGCAACCTCAATACACAGAGGAGGGAGACCCTTGTTGCATGTACACTGAACCAACCTCAATACACAGATGGAGGGAGACCCTTGTTGCATGTACACTGAACCAACCTCAATACACAGATGGAGGGAGACCCTTGTTGCATGTACACTGAACCAACCTCAATACACAGATGGAGGGAGACCCTTGTTGCATGTACACTGAACCAACCTCAATACACAGATGGAGGGAGACCCTTGTTGCATGTACACTGAACCAACCTCAATACACAGATGAGGGAGACCCTTTTTGCATGTACACTGAACCAACCTCAATACACAGATGGAGGGAGACCCTTGTTTCATGTACACTGAACCAACCTCAATACACAGATGAGGGAGACCCTTGTTGCATGTACACTGAACCAACCTCAATACACAGATGGAGGGAGACCCTTGTTGCATGTACACTGAACCAACCTCAATACACAGATGGAGGGAGACCCTTGTTGCATGTACACTGAACCAACCTCAATACACAGATGAGGGAGCCCCTTGTTGCATGTACACTGAACCAACCTCAATACATAGATGGAGGGAGACCCTTGTTGCATGTACACTGAACCAACCTCAATACACAGATGGAGGGAGACCCTTGTTGCATGTACACTGAACCAACCTCAATACACAGATGGAGGGAGACCCTTGTTGCATGTACACTGAACCAACCTCAATACACAGATGGAGGGAGACCCTTGTTGCATGTACACTGAACCAACCTCAATACACAGATGGAGGGAGACCCTTGTTGCATGTACACTGAACCAACCTCAATACACAGATGGAGGGAGACCCTTGTTGCATGTACACTGAACCAACCTCAATACACAGATGAGGGAGACCCTTGTTGCATGTACACTGAACCAACCTCAATACACAGATGAGGAGAGACCCTTGTTGCATGTACACTGAACCAACCTCAATACACAGATGGAGGGAGACCCTTGTTGCATGTACACTGAACCAACCTCAATACACAGATGGAGGGAGACCCTTGTTGCATGTACACTGAACCAACCTCAATACACAGATGAGAGGGAGACCCTTGTTGCATGTACACTGAACCAACCTCAATACACAGATGGAGGGAGACCCTTGTTGCATGTACACTGAACCAACCTCAATACACAGATGAGGGAGACCCTTTTTTGCATGTACACTGAACCAACCTCAATACACAGATGGAGGGAGACCCTTGTTGCATGTACACTGAACCAACCTCAATACACAGATGGAGAGACCCTTGTTGCATGTACACTGAACCAACCTCAATGTTGCATACACTGATGAAGGGAGACCCTTGTTGCATGTACACTGAACCAACCTCAATACACAGATGGAGGGAGACCCTTGTTGCATGTACACTGAACCAACCTCAATACACAGATGGAGGGAGACCCTTGTTGTACACTGTACAACTGAACCAACCTCAATACACAGATGAGGGAGACCCTTGTTGCATGTACACTGAACCAACCTCAATACACAGATGGAGGGAGACCCTTGTTGCATGTACACTGAACCAACCTCAATACACAGATGAGAGAGCCCCTTGTTGCATGTACACTGAACCAACCTCAATACATAGATGGAGGGAGACCCTTGTTGCATGTACACTGAACCAACCTCAATACACAGATGGAGGGAGACCCTTGTTGCATGTACACTGAACCAACCTCAATACACAGATGAGGGAGACCCTTGTTGCATGTACACTGAACCAACCTCAATACACAGATGGAGGGAGACCCTTGTTGCATGTACACTGAACCAACCTCAATACACAGATGAGGGAGACCCTTGTTGCATGTACACTGAACCAACCTCAATACACAGATGGAGGGAGACCCTTGTTGCATGTACACTGAACCAACCTCAATACACAGATGGAGGGAGACCCTTGTTGCATGTACACTGAACCAACCTCAATACACAGATGGAGGGAGACCCTTGTTGCATGTACACTGAACCAACCTCAATACACAGATGAGAGGGAGACCCTTGTTGCATGTACACTGAACCAACCTCAATACACAGATGGAGGGAGACCCTTGTTGCATGTACACTGAACCAACCTCAATACACAGATGGAGGGAGACCCTTGTTGCATGTACACTGAACCAACCTCAATACACAGATGGAGGGAGACCCTTGTTGCATGTACACTGAACCAACCTCAATACACAGATGGAGGGAGACCCTTGTTGCATGTACACTGAACCAACCTCAATACACAGATGGAGGGAGACCCTTGTTGCATGTACACTGAAGCAACCTCAATACACAGATGAGAGAGACCCTTGTTGCATGTACACTGAACCAACCTCAATACATAGATGGAGGGAGACCCTTGTTGCATGTACACTGAACCAACCTCAATACACATATGAAGGGAGACCCTTGTTGCATGTACACTGAACCAACCTCAATACACAGATGAGAGAGACCCCTGTTGCATGTACACTGAACCAACCTCAATACACAGATGGAGGGAGACCCTTGTTGCATGTACACTGAACCAACCTCAATACACAGATGAGAGAGACTCCTGTTGCATGTACACTGAACCGACCTCAATACACAGATGGAGGGAGACCCTTGTTGCATGTACACTGAACCGACCTCAATACACAGATGGAGGGAGACCCTTTTTCCATGTACACTGAACCAACCTCAATACACAGATGTAGGGAGATTCTTGTTGCATGTACACTGAACCAACCTCAATACACAGATGAGGGAGACCCTTGTTGCATGTACACTGAGCCAACCTCAATACACAGATGGAGGGAGACCTTTGTTGCATGTACACTGAACCAACCTCAATACACAGATGGAGGGAGACCCTTGTTGCATGTACACTGAACCAACCTCAATACACAGATGGAGGGAGACCCTTGTTGCATGTACACTGAACCAACCTCAATACACAGATGGAGGGAGACCCTTGTTGCATGTACACTGAACCAACCTCAATACACAGATGGAGGGAGACCCTTGTTGCATGTACACTGAACCAACCTCAATACACAGATGGAGAGAGACCCTTGTTGCATGTACACTGAACCAACCTCAATACACAGATGGAGGGAGACCCTTGTTGCATGTACACTGAACCAACCTCAATACACAGATGGAGGGAGACCCTTGTTGCATGT